TGCTAAACTACTTCATGCTAAACTGCTTCATACTAAACTGCTTCATAATAAACTGCTTCATGCTAAACTCATTCATGCTAAACTGCCGTTAGAAATAAAGTAATTTCAGAAGCTTTAGTTTTGTCTACTTTGTTGAGTGTTTGATCACAGCTCATGCAGGGACATTTATCAGACTCGGAGCAGTGCTTAGGGTCAGTACTGCTGGACTTTGTCGTCAGGTTTCATAGAAAAGTGCTCAGAACAAAGAAAGAGGAGAATCCACTGACGATGGGGAAGATTTCAGGTTTAAAAGTTCCTGCCTAATGATTTAAAGAACTGCTCCCTGAAGACAACGAGTGCATCATTTATGCACAACAGGACTGAGCCTTGTGTGGAGTTTCAGCTGTCATCAATTATCACATCACAGCTTTTTAAACACTCCTGTCCCATTCATCCTAGTAATAGTAGAGATTTGTGTGAACGCTACTCATTCCACCCTCCTCATGGACTCACACTGCATGTCCTTATCGTCCAACACGTTCATGAACATGTTTCTAAGTGATTTAACCGCGGCGCAGATGGAGGAGACCCACGGGACCGAACAGATGAGACCACAAGGTGAAGATCAGGCTCTTAAGCTACAGTCAGATATAAACATGAAAGCAGCCCACACCTCCTACAACTGTGACAAACACAGTGCAGTCTCTTGTGTGAATGTCAGCTGTGTCACTGCTCGTTCACTTCAGTGTGACTGTAGTAATGCTGCCGGTCAGATTAATTTAAAACAGATTCATTTGTTGGTTCGTCTGTCCACCTTAGACCCGAGGTGTGTCGCAGCAGCAGCAGTCTGTTAAAGTGATGTTCAGCATCTGGATTTATTCTCCTCACAGCTTCAGTCTGTGTACGTGGCCGACTGAACACAGCATTTACTGTTCGATCAGGCCCGAATCATCAATCAGGTCAGGATGACTGTGACACCAAAGTCCTCCCAGAGTCAGTTTTATAACAGCAGCAGGTTTGATCCCCCAGAACCAATCGAATGATCAGGACAAGTGACCTGCAGTGGTTATTAACAGATCAATGTTGCAAATATCAACCTTACAAACTTACTAACGTCTCATTAATCAAACTATAACAAGCAGTAGGGAGATGTCCCCCCCGTCTCTGAGGGGTGTGAACAGTGAGTGTTTGTAGTTTAGAGATGAGTTTTTATGGACTGGAACAGAACATAGAATGAAGTAAACCTAAATGTTTTTGGTTCAACACATTCAAGTGGGTAAGAATTACTCTGTGGAGAAGAACAGGGTTTTTTTGCTCTTGTCTGAGGAGGTGCAGAGTAACACATACTGGAGAGGAGGGAGCCGTTGTATCCACCACCAGGTGAAGTGGTGGTGGGGGTGGAGGTGGGGTGGGGGGGTGGAGGGGGGTGGAGCCTTTGGCCCCCATAGATTCATCTTCAGCCACCCCACTCGTTTGAGGAAACTATACTTTAAGGCAATATAACACTTTGTATCTTTGACATATGTAGATGCAGCCACACACCAAAACGGATGTTGGCACCTTGCTTATTTTTCATGTTATCCAGTGGTGGGGGTGGTGGTGTTGTGTGGGTGTGTGTGGGGGGTATTTTCAATTCCACCTCTTCACTCCCAGACAGGGACAAAAAGTATAACTGCACCTCTGAAGAAACCCATTTGTGAGTGTTGATCTGAAGAACTGTGTTAGGGATTTTTTGGTCAAAGTTTATGGATGTTTTTAACTGATACAGCTGAGAATGTTAACTCTGCCCATGAACCATATGTTTGAGTTAGCAGAGAGAGCTGGATGAGGGGCTGGGTGAGGCTACAGCATGCAGCTGTTGCTTCAAGGTCACCTCCGAGTCTGTGAGCTCGGCTGAACGGAAGGTATAAAACCAAACTTCACACACTGCCTGTGGTAGATTCTTGTGACTGGTCTTTGTGTGTACTTCCTGTATACCTGTGTGTACTTCCTGTATACCTGTGTGTACTTCCTGTATACCTGTGTGTACTTCCTGTATACCTGTGTGTACTTCCTGTATATCTGTGTGTACTTCCTGTATACCTGTGTGAACTTCCTGTATGTCTGTATATACTTCTTGTATACCTGTGTGTATTTCCTGTATATCTGTGTAAGTTGTCCTGAAAATCTGTCCTTGCAAGTAAAGATCGGTTAAAAATCTTCTGTCGTTGAGTGTGGCGCCTTTTGAGTAAGTGTAGTGAACCAGATGACCTCAAATCTACCAGATGGACAGAGACTGTTATTTTCATTGATCTGAATAAGTGTGGGCCATCTGATGACTTTCTTTCTTGAATTAATCAAGCAGAAAAGACAATTCTTTATAATCATTACTGTCTTACAAATGTTTTGATAATCAAATTGTGTTAGTTCACTCAATGCTTTACAGGTTGAAAAGAACTACTCATCTTTATTTTACATAAACAGTAAGTAATGATTTTTATTCCTCATTCCAAGAAGAAATCACCTGAATAAGCATTCCTTGATTTTCTGTCTGAAATGAGTCAAGTCGTAAGTATGTGAAAGGTTGGTTTTCGGTCAACTAAAATGTTTACCGAGAAAAATGTCATGTTTAAACTTTTTCAGAAGATTACCAAGAGTTGACTCCACGAAGTCTGCTGTTGCTGCAATAATCTTTTCTGTATGTGAAAACAAATTTCATTCTCTGACCTCGACTGTTGATAAACACCTTACGTCAAAACCACTCCTCTTTCTGGTCCTTCCACGAATCAGAAAGCTCTAAATTGAACAGGAAGTCGACCCAAATAAAATGTGGCAACTTCTCAGTTCATGTTAGTTGGAGATGGAGATTCAGAGTGATATGGAGTTCCAAGATTGAGAGTTCTGGAGAACGTGAGAGTTCCAAGATTGAGAGTGCAGTCGGTTCTGAAAGCTTCAGAGCAATGAAGAATCCAGAGGTTTTTTGGGGATTATAATTCTGTTTTGAGCTAACCACGCACGACTTTCTGAAGGTTTGGTAGCTCTCGACGGAGACGCTGAAACGAGTCAGAAAGGAACTACTCCAAGGCTGATTCATCATCAACAGGTAGATGGTTCTATTTTGACCAAGTGTACCGTGAGAAGCTGAGATCGGACGGAGCGTGCAACTTCTGGTCAAACAGATTAAATTCCCTCACATATTTCCTCTGTAAGATAAATCTCAATTTAATCTTAAACTCTTCTCTCTCATAAATCAGTACAGATATTTTTAGAAATGTCTGAAGCAAAGTCCTCAAATCACCGCCGAGTGATTTGAAGTTCATTTTCTGTGAAACTGTCTGTTATTATTTTCATATTTTGCCAAATTAATGTAAATGTTTGATGTTAAACTTTGATTTTGAAAATAAATGATTCCATTCATTTGATGGGTCAAAGGTAATAACGTCTCTCGTTCGCATTTGTGTTAAATTCAATGCACGGCATTTACAGTCAGAAAAATGAAGAACTCGTGAAAAGTATGCATAAATATATATCCATATATTTGTCATACAACAAGTGACACGTACCTCACGTGACTCACTACATAAGTGAGAATATTTCTCTCAACACCTGTCACAGTTTCACTGCTGTGAGACGAGACAAAAATCCATTGCACGATTACAACCGGTCCAAAATGCTGTAGCCCGATTTTTAACTGGTACAGGCAAAAGAGATCACATTACACCAGTTCTGTCCTCCCTGCACTGGTTCACTTTTGAATTCAGTTCAAAATCCTTCTGTATGTTTTTCAAATCTCTGAACAGTCCTGCCCCCTCTTATCTCGCTGATCTGCTGCAGCCATATGTCTCACAGCGCTCTCTGAGGTCAGCAGATCCGATGCTCCCATTGGTTCCATGAATCCGTCTCAAACTCAGAGATGACAGGGCCTTCTCTGTTGCAGGTCCAAGACTGTGGAATGAGTTACCACTACATGTCAGGCAGGCTCCCTCCCTCACTGTTTTTAATTCTCGCTTTAAAACACACTTTTATTCCCTCGATTTTGACACTGTGTAACTCGTTTATAATCCTGTCTGTATTCTACAGTGTTAGCCTTTTAGTTATGATCTTTTTTGCATTTGGATCTGTGTTTTTACCCTGTGTGCTTTGCTTCTTTGTTTCTGCTGTACAGCACTTTGGTTGGCCTTGCTGCTGTTTTAAGTGCTTTACAAATAAAGTGGTACGGTAAAAACTCCACAAGTCCATTCAGAGTCGTCATTTGAGCACAACATCCATTAAAGTTCATCTCCTACACAAGCAGCTGTATCTTAAACAAACCGACCAAAAGAAGCTTCACCATCAAACGAGATGAATCAGTTCATTCCTATCACTGTGGCTCAGACTCTAAGAAACGACAACAGAACTCAATATTGTAGATAAAAGCACAGACAGTGGCACTATTTTAATATTTACCAACAAATTAGTCCAAACTGTTTGAATTGATTGGATTAATAAAATCTGCAGCGCAGGTTTGTCCAAAAATGTGACTTCCACACGAAAAACGACACGATTTGTTGAAACTGAAGCATTGATGCAACTTTGTAAAGATTTTACAACAGAAAACCATAAAGTGAGTAATTCAGGCATGACACAGAGACGGTAAATGTCTAAAAGGAGCTTCAGTGTTGAAACATCTTTTAAAGGTTCAGGATTTAATTTTAATGGTAAAATATACTTTAATCAGAGTTTCATCAACAAACTGGACCCCAGTGAGTTTATCTAGCCTCGTTAGGATAAATGTTATAGTGCGGTGAAATCATAAAAACAACATAAGTAAAAAGTAGACTACATTTAATAGGCTGCTTCTAAAATTGGACACCAATAAAAAGCTGTTTTTACTACAATTCCTCAAAATGGAGTCTGAACTTTACAATTTATTTATCTTAAACGGGTTTCCAGTAAGGAGAAAGATGTTAAAGCACAACATCAGAGAGAACATTTGCAGGTGATCTCTCTGCTTTTTGTTTAATAGGGCGTGCACATTCAGTAAAAAAACACGCTGAGCTTACCTGGGAGAGCAGAGGAAAAGGATGTTCTCCGCCTCGGGCAGATAAATCATCTGTCCTTTCAGCCTGAGACAGCTGATCTCCACCCCCGTCAGCTCGTCCTCGTTCTCCACCGTCTCCACGTCCAGCAGGCCCTCCTGTCACCAACACAGCGCTCGAGTGAATATTTCATCACGCTGGGTGTTCTTCTCTAAAGCCCCTTCAGAACTGGCAACTGCTCTCTGGAGAAAATCATTTTAGGTTTCATGTGTGTAAAAAAAATAAAAAGATCCATTTTGAGCTTAACGTGCTGCAGCTAACGGAGCGGAGGGTCAAACTGTTTAAGCTCCTTTCACTGGACGCCGCTGTTCCATGAGACTAACACAAACTGAACTTTTAGCTACATTTTAATGTTTCCTGTGCTTTGGTCCGTTTTTCTTTCCAAAATGTGTTCAAAACTGTTACAAACAGGCCAGTTTGTCTTTTCTGCAAATCACCATCAGTATTTTACTGACTGGTCACATAAATATGCTCCTGCTTCCTGGGAGCTTCTACACGTTCATTTCAGCTGCTCTCTAAATCCTACTTTCTTCTGCGTTAGCATCGTAACTGAAAGTCTTGCTGCTTCTAAAAATATCTGTGACCTTATCAATATTTAAGAGCCCTATTATACCAAGTTTAGCTTCTTTATTTTTAATATGCAACCTCGTGAACTGGCTTTGCATTATTTAAGGCCAAATAAATCCTTAGGTTAGAACTGAATGCCTTGTCAGAGTTGATCCACGTCCTCAAAGTGTTTCAGCACCTTTGCTACCTGAAAGTCCACGTACGAGGCAGCTGTTCTCACTTCTCTTGCAAACGTGGCAGAAAACTGTAAAGCTGCAGACAGACAGCTTGCTTCTGTTTCTGAGGCTGCTGTCAAAAGCTCAGAGTCGAGTTTGCTCTTGATTTGTTTGTAGAATTGTTTATACTCAGACCTTCATTTTATTTTTTAGATATACTTTTTCTTATATATATACAGTATATTATATTGTTATACTACAGTTTAGGACAGTATCATACTTTTGTTATTTCATTTTATGCTAATGTTTATTAAATGTTTTAATGCTTAATGGTTATTGTTGCAGCAGGGGTCTGAGAGTAATGTAATTTCAATCCTGTGTATGACCTGTACATATTGCAGTTTTGACAATAAAGTTGACTTTGAAATCAGAACTCTTCGGTTCAAAGGATGAGGAGTATTTTCTTCTTACACATTTGTACGGAGCTCAAAAGTAGTCACACAAGAGCCACAATTGCATCAACAGTTTTTCAAATGCACATTTCAATTTGCACAAGTAGGAATAGTCTGCAAGTACAAATGGTCAAATACACGTGCACAAATCACCTCCTGTAGAATCCAGTAACATAAGTGTTTTTGTTTTAATATTATTGGATCAAGCTTTTCCCAGTACGTCAGTAAATCTGCTGAGGCTCAGATGTCCCAGCTTTTTACCAGCCTTGAACGCAGCATCATGTTTGTGAACCTGGAGGTAAGAACGTCTCTAAAGTCACGTTCGCAGGCAGCTGATCCGTGCACAGCAGGTTATTTGTGCACGTGTATTTAATGATTTGTAAGAACAGAATATTCCTGCTTGTGCAAAGTGAAATGTGTGCATTTTAAAAACAGATGATGCATTTTGCGGATCTTGTGACTAGTGTAGAGACTGATTTATCTCCATATATGTGTAAGATATTTATATATTTATTTAGATATTTTATCTTCATAGATCCATCCATCCAGCATCAAAGTGTGGTATGGAGGCTGTACAGCTGCAGAAAGAAAAGAGAGGTGAAGGCTGCACAGAAGTCTGTTGGAGTCAGCCTCCCCACCATCACAGACATCTACATCTCCAGATGCAGGAAGAGGGCCACCTGCATCATGAAGGAGCCCACTCACCCAGCACACACACTTTTTGCCCTGCTCCCCTCAGGAAGGAGGTTGAGGAGCATTAAGTGTAGAACCACTAGACTGAGGAACAGCTTCTACCTTGAGGCTGTTAGAATCATGAATCTCTAACTAGAATAATCACTGTGAAAAATCACATCATGTTGCTGCTGATCTGTTTCATGTTGCTGCTGATCTGTTTCATGTTGCTGCTGA